TTCCCCAGGTATAGACGGTGTGTTCTGCAGTCTTCAGTTCACTTTTAGATTGAGTTGTATTTGCTGTAGTTGCTTGCTTGGTGTGTGTATGGGAGGAGGTCTCTGTCTTGCCTTCAGGCTACTCTGCCATCTTGACCCTCTCCCTTCAAGTTCTAGTTACCCCACAAGTTATTAAGGTGCTAACAAACTAGAGGACATTTAAGAGGGTGAGCAGGATGCTGAGGGGTCTGGAATTAGGACAAGTTAAAGAGTTAGTGGCAAGGCCAGAGAGGATAAGTTGCAAATATCAGCTTTTTCTCCAAATATCGAAGTGAGAACATGCAGAAGAGTTTGTTCCATTCACCTTTCCTTTTGGGTGGCAATTATAGTCACATCAAAAAGGGAAGTACTGGGATAAAAACTTAGATATAAAAGTATGTGATTTTTCTGTAATTCATTTGAATTTAACCTTTCTGTCTTTCTGTAGAAAAACAGTAAACATGTTGTTGCAAGGAAGCATTTATCACAGTGCCTGGGCCATAGGAGATATTCACTGGGTGGTAACTGCTTTCACCATCATTAATTATCTGCCTTAGGAAAAGGACGGTGTTTCCCCCAGCAATGCCATTCATGTTTCTGCAACTAATGCTCCACCACCAACACCACCTAAGACGAAGGAATAACTGGAGCCGTAGGCAATGTTAGGTCCAAGCAGATCAGTTCTATGCCAGATAGTGGAGGCACAGCTCATCCAGCACTCTCTCTACACATCTGTGTCCTTTTCTCAATTTAGACATCTCTCCATCCCCCTCTTCTCCAAACTTCCCCTAACAGTCAGTTCCCTAAGGGTCTTCTGTCTATCCCAGATTTTTATCACTGTAAAAAAAAACCCCCATAAGAAGGTAATAACTTCATTCATTAGCCTTCAGTTGGTAAATAAGTTGTTTTGATTTGAGGGAATGAAATTCTGATGGTTATATTTTGAGCACTCTGGGGGTGTGGGTGCCCCTAATACTTTTGAACAATGGGAAATGTTTTCCTCCCTTACTACATCACCCAAAAGGATCTCTTGTATATGAAGAGCCCTGCAAGAACACATGAGCATTCATTCTGTAAATATTTATAAGACCTACCAGGCACAATTCTGGGCTAGTCACAAATTACCTGATGTATAAGAAAATCCTCAACATCCAGTGTACATGGAGAGTAGAATACAGCTACCACATCTCTCTAAAATCCTCTTTAAGAGATGGGAGACCATGATCTAAAAAAGCATTCTAGTAAGGCACAGGAAGTAAGCATATTCCAAATCGAAAAGCAAAATCAAGTGATCTTCCACATCAAAGGGTCTGAACTGAGGATCACTTCCACCAGGCTGTTAGCCTTCACCTGAACTTCACTGTGCTGCTTCTCTGCAAACTACCATGTCTTAAGCTAATTCATACTCTTCAGTTTTACAAAATTCACAGGATTCTCTTCTCTCCCAGAAACTACATCTATCAGATGGAACATGAAGCTGGTTTATTGACTTTCCTGGTGCATTAGTGCCAAAGGACTGTGCCCCACCCCATTTCTACTCCCTCCTTAGACTATGTACTCTTGCACTTGACAAGGCAAGGCAACAACCAGTCCCTCCCCACTCAGGGATGAGGGGCAGGATCTCTCTCACCTGGGCCTCTGTAAAGGGACCTGATTAATCGAGGCATCTCTGTGCTGTGAATATATAACAACCCAGCCTTAGGAGTTAGGTCCTCTCTGTTTCATCCATTCTAGCCTGAATTTTCTTAATCTTCTCTGGTTCCCTGTTCCCCATTTGGCTTGTGTACACCTAACATCCACTTTACTTCTCTCTGGCTTCATTAACCCTTTTTTGACCTACTTTTCTGGTGCAATTTTGGCCGTTTCCCCCAGACATATAGTCTATATTAACTTTCTTGCCCTATGAACAAAGATTATAGGTTAATTACATTTTACTTTAGCCCAGCTCAAAGGACTAACTGGTCTGACACTCTTTCCATCCATCTGCTCCACCAAGGATAGATTCAATAAACTATTCCAAACAAAAAGCCATTATTATACTTAGCAGAGAATTACTGCTGAGAGTCTCAGATGTAGTAATAATGAAAGAATGATCACTATCTTGATTATTATTTAATATTATTCCACAACTTTTGTCCAGTGTAACAGAGAGATAGATATACCATTGAGAAATTAAGACATGAATATGGTCATTTTCAGTTACTGTGAATATACTTAGAAAACACAAATGAAGTTAGGAAGGAAGTAGATTAGCTGTTGCCAGAGGTTTGGAGTGGGGGAGGAAAAAGGAGAAAGGAAAAATGGGGAGTGACTACTAGTGGTACAATCTTTCTTTTCAGGATGATGAAAATGTTCTAAAATTAGGTTATGGTGATGGTTACACAACTCTGTAAATAGTCTGTAAACCACTGAACTATGTACTTCAAACGGGTGAATTTTATGACATGTGAATTGTCTCAATAAAACTGCTAAAAAAATTCAACAGTTTCTATATATACCAAAATAGACTCTTAACCAATGACAAAAGAGATTTCATTTTCCTAAAGACATAAAATATAATACTAACAAAAAACTTAGTTGTATGAAAAAGTACAGCCTATACAAAATTATAAAACTTTATTGATATATATATAAGACATACGTGAATCCAGAAATATCCTTGGATAAAAAGACTGAATATTATACATGATACATTTTTCTTTCAGAATTCAGGAATAATTTTCCAACCAGTTCAATTTTAATAAAAATGCCAGGGGAGGACTTTTTAGAGTAACACTAAGCAAAATTTTTTCAAGTTTATTTGGAAGCAAATAAACAAGTAAAGTAAAAAGCAATTTTTGAGAAAACAAAGAAATAATGAAAAAAGACTTACATTTACCAGTTATATAATAATACTAAATATATTAAATAAAAAAAGGCAATGGAGAGTCACAACACTGCAGAGATAATTTTGACTTAGAGCCACAAAATAGCACAGATAGCCTTGAAATAAACTTATTTTTGATATGAGTGTTTAATTAATTAAATAAGGAGACCATTAGACCTCAAGGTGGTTCTGATGCCTTACTGGCCTCTGCAAGCAAATTCAAACTTGTAAATGCCTTGAGATTAAGAAGTCAAAACCTAGGGACAATGGATCACAAACAGACAATGAGGCTTTCCCAAATAAGGCAAACACGTAAGCTGTGGCCAATCAAATAGTGGCCTTGCTTTGCTTCCATCTGTTCTCTGTGTAAGTTTCCCCCCAGCTCCTGTCATTGGAGCCCTCCTAACCACTTCTGCCTTGGCACTGACTGATTCAAATCGATTTGTGCTCAAATAAACTCTTAAAGTTTTTAATATGCCTCAGTTTATCTTTTAACATGAGGAAACATCACAGATTAGTGGAAAAGGGAAAGTCATTCAATAATGATGTTGGAAAAATTGCTCATTAATTTGAAAGGTGGTGACAGTCTCCCTGACTCTTCCAAGGGTTTTTATAAGCAAAATCCCTGTTGAAATACCTAGAGTAGTTTGTTTTCTTATCTGAATCTGAGCTGATAGCTATGTAAGATAATAGATAAATAAGGTGTAAGTTTTAGAAAAATATTTTCTTTTACCTACAAATGAGGTACTAATATCACACAAGAAATTGTTTTAAAAGTTAAGCAGATATAAAAACTTGCTCCATAGCTAAAAGTATTCATCTGCATCCTTAACTGGTCTGAAGAGGGCAGCAGAGAGTCATTTACACATAATCAAAAGTAACCTCTGAACCAAAAGCACTCACTTTGGTTGTTTTTTCAACGACCTTCTGTTCTTACTTATGACTAGGTCTTAACAAACTGGGTGGCCAGGATTAGCAAGGCAGTCTGAGGTCATGGATCAAAGCTATCCCAAGAAGCCAAAGCGAAGATTCAAATAATTGTTTTATATCATCAAAACAATTATTTAATTAGATAAACCAACTAACCAATTAATGTACAGCTGGCTAAGCACATTTAACCAGTACATGTTTATGAAATACTTTAGAATGTAAAGCATTTAATTGTTTCAGGGCTTTCTACTTCTAGAAGTACAAAAGGTATGTATAAAGAGTAACAGCCACTTATTCTGCCATACTTTTTGAGCATCAGTACGCCAGAAATCATTGGAGACAAAAAGGATTATGAAAGCATGTTCAAAAAAATCATGGAAGCCTGACTTACTCTCCCACTATAAACAACAAAATTCTGAGTAAGACAAGGAAGTGTTTTTATAAGCTGACAAAGTGAGGAATACTTAGGCCAAAATTAAGTGAATGCAGAAATCCAGAGATAATGCTGCAACACTGAAGCTGGCCTTCACTCCAGGGCTTTGTGAAAACAGGTAAATCTGAACTTCAGTTTATACCTCTTTACAGGGCACAGAGAACAGAAATCACCCAGGGCCCTACAAAGTGGAGATTCTAAATAATAGAAAACCACTCCATTAAGGTTGAGACACCAAAGAGCCACCCTTTTAGCGTAAGAACAAACTAGAAGTAACCACCTGGAACCCTGTACTGCCTCCCACCCCACTAAAAGTGAAATTGCTTCCTTTCTGGAAACTTGGCTTTAAGAACAGGGAAGGGAAAAAAAATCTCTTCTGAGTTTTACAGGCACTACAGACCTGACAAACTCTCTCTTGAGTCTATCCGATCTTCTATCTATCCAACTATGTGCTCACCAATGAAACTGGATTACTTTGTCACTTGCTCAGGTGTTCTGGATACCAGATTGGAATTTTCCAGTGTCTGCAAAGTTCTATCTGACCATAAGGTGTCAAAATGACCATAAGGTGTCATTTTGGTAAATTTAATGTGAGAATGAACATTCTTAGGCCTGATCCCTTTTCAGTGACCTGAAAACTGAGGAAATACATCTTCAAAGCTAAAAACACAGACTGAGAACCCATGGTGAGACCCACTCCGCGCATGCCCAGAACACAGTTGGCCTTGGCCCGTGGCAACACTGAAAACCCACCTTGTATATTCCTTTGATAACAGCTATGGCATCGGCCAACTGCTGATTGTAGCATTTTCTTAAGTTATCCTCATTCTGTAAACCGAAAGAAAAGACAGTGAGCACCATAGTATTTCCAAATAGGATTCTTGCATCTACGAGGGAGGGACTCAGTATACAACCTTCATTCAAATGATCACAATCTTGTGAAAATTTCCATTTATAATAATTTCTCCTACACTAGAGCTATTATAGCACATTTAATTTTGCTTATATTTAACCAAAAGCAATGGACAGCTCACATGGATAAAATAATACAAATAACTTGAGCATTCTATTTCACCATACATATCAAAGTCTTTTGAGCATCTTCCTATGACTGCTAATAGTGGTAAAATCTAGTTGGTAATTACACTTATTGTAGTGAGCATTTTGTAATGTTTTTAATTGTTGAATGTTATACACCTGAAACCAATATAACATTGTATATAACTATAATAAGAAATAATAATTTAAAAAGTAGTAAAATCTATTTGTAATTCTTATTGTCTTCTGGTCCTTATATTTTCTGAATGTGATATGCTCATGAAAAGGAATTGAGAGTCATTATCCATAAACTAGTCATTTTCAGATGAATCAAATCACTTGGTCACATCTGTTTAGGATAACAATGAAGACAGTACACTAAAAAAAATAACATCTTGATTCTTATATCAATTCTGATTCCAGCATGGAGCATAAACAACGAATAGGCTTTAGAGTCAGACAGAAGTAGATCTCAGTATTATTCTATACTTTTTATATGAACTTAACCAAGTTATTTAACTCATTTCCTTATGTGTAAATCAGGGATAATAGGATTTCCATTTTAGGATTGTTGAGGGACTTAACTAGGAAATGCATTTAAAAGGCTTAGAATGGTGTGGTCAACAAAAGATGTTATTCTTCTTTTTTTTATAGCCAAGAGATAGCAGTGTTGTCTGTTCTTAATAATCAGACCTAGGCTGATGAAACCACAGATTTTAGGACATCCCTCAAAGCCACCAAGTTTTCATGTCTTTGGCTCCTATAGAGCTATTAAAGCACAAATAAGATTACATAAAATTGTAGGTAAGAACCAGATCTCAAGCATCAAACTGTCTGGCCTGGAGCATACACTCTGCTGTTTTTTTAAACTGGTGACCTCGAGGAAATTAATTACCCTTTCTGTGCCTTGGTTTCCTGTCTGGGAAAGAAGGATAATAACTGTACCCACTTCATGAGTCTGTGTGAGGCTTAGATGAGCTCAGCAACAGAGTACTTACTGAGGTCCCAAACACAGAGTAAAGCTCTGTGTGTTAGCTATTATATGAGACACAACACATGCAAATTAAATTGCCCTCGTAAGTTGCCAAATTCAAAACTGCAAACTGCAGTATTTGTACATCTAAGCCCAGGATCAATCCACATACAAAACAAAGGAGAAAACTTTTTACCTGTTGGTAATGTTTTTCGATGGTTAGGATCCGGTCATGAAGAACAGTGAAGAGATTGAAAGACTCCTCTTTCAGACAGTCCTTAAACTTCGACTGAAGCAATTGTTTGAGGAACCCAAAATCCACCTGAAAAGACTTAACAATCTAAAAATGGAAAAACATACATTATGGCAGAGAGAAAGGGCCTCTGTTTAGATTCCAGCTCATGGCCTGGTTCTGGGCATATGACCTGGGTCTCTGGTTGGGGGCCTGCCCTGCCTTTCATACAGTGCACGAGAGAACTCCAGGGAATCTGTTAGACTAACATATGCTCATGGGGTGAGGGAGAGGAGGGTCCTAGTAGATTCTTCCCGTAGAGGATAAAATACCTGGCCTGACAATAACTCTTTGTCAGGCCTCAAAAAGTATAGTTTTCAAGATGGGTGAGAGTTAACATTTGTTGTGAATTTACCAGCTAGGGTCTTAAATACATAACCAGTGTGTTGACTAAGAATCCTTTGCAATCATCAGAATAAAATGTATTCTTGTTTCCCAAAGTCTACTTAAAATATATTCATTAGATAATCTTCCCCTATTATTGGAAGGAATGGAACTTCAGGCAATTCCATGACTTTTGTGCTCTTTTTTGGGATCAGAAAGTCCTACCATCACTCAACATATAGCCCCAAAGTGGCATTTAGAATATGACTACTCTGAGTCAAACACTTCCAACTTTATGCACAGCTAAGACATCTCGAACTCCAAGCCAAGGGCAGTAGGGGGCAGCTGCCTGTCTTTAAGGAAAAGAATGTAATTCACTCTTGAGAGAATTCTGACTGACTCACACTCTTTTTTCTTCATACTGTATTTTCAATTCATAAGGATGCTATGTTGGGAATTTTCTTTTTCTTTTTCTTTTTATTAATTTTAGAGCAAGTCCTAAGGAACTCCTTCAATTCCAGGAGCAAGCAGAGGTGACTTTGCCTTTAAGAAACTTGTTCTGAAGAAGAAAGATGAAGGAATCCTGGTTTAGTCAAAAGAACGCCTGCAATATCTAGGGCTCCCATAGATCACTAAAAAATCCAGATGAAATAGGAACAAAACACAACCAACAACCTGAAGACACTGGAGAATAAACAAAAGCAGGAAGATCCTAGAGGGAGATTCAGAAGTTGAAAAAAGGAACTAATGTAGACTGAGATTCCTTTTTGGCCTGTGGCAGCCATGTTCAGTGGCTTCACAAAGTAGCTAAACCTCAAACAGAAATCCATGGCCTTTATGATCTCAATAATGAAAGGACAGAGCAATCATAGTTGCTGGATAGTGTTTGTGTGTGGGTTGTCGAAATAAAAGAAACAAAGAAGGGGACCACAAAATCTGTGTATAAACTCTGAGCAAACCACTGACTTATTCCTCAAACACACATACACGGCGCTGACAACAAGTGGCCCAACTGAAGATAAAATAATTAAACTGAGATTAGGGCTGCCAACCAAAAGACGTAGTTTGCATCTTGAATCCAGACAAGTTCATTGTGTCCTAAAACAAAAACATCAATAGTCTTTGGGGGAATATATATCAGAATCCAGAACACAACATCCACAATATCTCAGATATAATCCAAATTACCTGATGTACAGAAAGCCAGGAAACCAGTATCCATTACACGTGTTCTTCCTTACCGAGAGACTTTCTTGGGGCAGAAACATGCCTAGCTAAAATACTTCCCTAGAACCCCTTGCAGTGAAAGGGGTCATGTGATTCAGTCAAAGTCAATGATAAATAAGCTGGGGTTTTCTGGGGAAAGCCTCTGCCTTCCAAAAATAGCCTCCACTACCCCCTCTACTTCTCTGGTATCCTCCTTCCTCAATGAAATGCAGATGGAGGTTGGAAGTGAACAATACAAAAAGCAAAATCCACGCACTAATAATGGAGGTTTGAAAAGATAAACTGAACCTGGTACACAAGTGACAGCAGAGAACTGCTGCCCTAACTCCAGACTAACTCCAGACTCCTTATTTGATTAAGCCAATGCAGTGGTGTTTTCTAAACACAGTGTTATATGCCATCCTAATTGATATCAATATCCAACTCAAGGAATTAGAAAAACTGAGTAAACCCAAAGATAGAAGAAATTAATAAAGGCAAGAAATCCATGAACTAGGAAATAAAGATATGACAGGATTAATAAATCCAAAAGTTGGGTCTCTGGAAAAAAAATTAATGAAATAGATAACATTACCAAGACTCATAAGGAAAAAAAAGAGGTTTGTAGACAATATTAAAAATTTAAAAATTTAAGAGAAATATAACTACAGATACAGATAAAGATTTAAAAATAATAAGAGAAGACAATGATCAACATTACACCAATAATTTGAAGATTTAGCAAAATAAATACTTTTGTAGAAAATAAAACATCAAAACTGACCCAAGAAGATTTAAGAAAACCTTAATGTATCTATAACAAAACAAAAATGGAAGTAAAAATAAGTACAGATAATTTTCGATGCAAGTTCCAATAAGCATCAAAGAAATATTTAATTTCATCCACATGCCAACTATTCCAGAGAATAGACCAGAGAACACTTCTCAACTCATTTTATGAAGTTACTGTCACCTTGGTGTACTGTAACTCCGGCCGGGGAGCGAACTGGGCAAAATCCCTTTAAAACTGAAATCAGCCAAAGGGAGAAATAAAGTGGGAGAAACCCATTTCTTTCTTACAAGCAGTCGTCCATTCCTGCTCTCCTGTGTCTTTTGTGACTCGGCTGGAGAAGAAGAAGGGACCCCACCCAACCTCTCCTGTCCAGAAATGCCCTCACTGGCCCTTGTAAATATCTACTGATATGGAGACGAACTACTTCTCTCCACCCCTTGGGGACACCTATTGATATGGAGATGCACTAAGGCTAGGCAAGAGATTCTGGAAATATTGCAATTTTACCCACATATACTAACAATAGTATAAGCGGAAACAAAAATTATAAGACAATGCTGCTTATGAACATAGATGGCAAATAATCTTTGGTAAAATACCACCAAATAATGCAGAAATTCAAAAAGAAATATTGTGGTCCAGTGGATTCACTCTGGTTATACTATTCAAAAATCAAATTTCACCACATGATCAGATGAAGGAGAAAAAACCAGATGACTCAATAGACCCATGAAAAGCATTCAAATTCAGTCATTCATGATGTTTTTCTGAAAAATGCCTATCATTAAATAGAAATAGATGAAATATCCTTAATGTGATTTAAGCGTACAGTATCAGAACTTAGCTCAGCTATACTAAATAATCCAAATAACAGAAGCATAAATGAAAAATAAGCTTTTTTCTCTGCCACTCAAAATCGACATTGGCAGTCAGTGGTGGAAATGACCTAAAAGCTTTCTATCTTATTATTCTGCTGTATATATTGCTTCAAAATTATGGTGCAAATGGTGGCATCCATGTTCTAGGCACAGAAGGAAAGACAGGAGGAAGAGAGGGAGGAGAAAGTAAAGTGGCAGACAGTGCATGTGAGCCATGACTTCAAAGAAGACTTCCCCAAAGCTGCCACATAACATTTCCATCTAAATTCTAGTGATCAGAAATTGGTCGTTTGAACATACCTAACTGCAAAGGAATTAAGTTTTAAAACCTTTCTGAAGGCATAAAAGAAGACAGTCAGTTAGGAAGTGTGTAGGAAAAGAGACACCCTCAAAAGTTACTAGTGCGGGTGTAAATTGGCATGATCCCTATGCCGGGCCATTTGGCAATATCCTTCAGAATGACTAATGCATACATCCTCTGACTCAGAAATTCCACTTTTAAGAATTTACACCACAGATTTATTGGCATAGGAGTATGTACAGAATTATTAATCTCATAAAAGATTTGAAAGGACCAAACTGTCCATCAATAGGAGGACAGCTAAATAAATGATGCACATTTTGTGACACGATATACCTGTGAAATAGATGAGGATCTGTACCAATATGCAGTGACTTTCAAGTTATATTGTTAAGTGAAAAAGTGACAGTTTTGTTGGTTAGGGATTTTAATAACTCTTGATATCTGATGTGTATGAAATGTCCTGTTTCTTTACAATCAAAAAAGATCCAAAGGAAATATGTCAAGATTTGACAAAGCTGTATAGTGGGTAACAGAGTTACTCATTATGTTGTTCTTGCTATTCCTCTACATGCCAAAAATACCTTATAGTTTTTAAAAACTATCATAAATAGAAAATGTTCAAAGAATTCCAAAAAGAGCAACAAAACACCAAACAAGTTAGCATGTATAAGCATGACATAAATTATGAGTATTGGTTTAATTAATATATTAAAAAAAGAACTACTGTCATCCATTCAATTTGTAAAAGATGCTAATATTTAAAAGTTCCTTATCATTTCAATTATCAAGGAAAGGGACATACAGGCAAATAATACTTAAAATTTCTGATAAGTTCCCAAATGAATCCAGATTTACCTGCACAAGCTTTTGTGTAGATGAACTCAATTCTTTTAGTGGCAAAATTTCACTGGAATCTGTTTGAGTAGCATGGTCTGTGCTGAAAAAGCTGACCTTCAAATCATCTGAAATGTTAAGTCTGAAAAGAAATGACTAGATGTGTTTTATAGAATAGGTATTTCCTTTAAAATGTGTTATTGCATATATTTTTGTGTAGATTACATTATATTTTAAAGATTCAAAGGGATTGGTGAAGTGAGGAAACTGAATTTTTTCTGCTCATGATTTGGGTTTTTCACTAAGACTTGGCTGGATTATCAGATTCTCTGGACTGGCATACTGCTCCAGTGATACTCATCTTATTTCCATTTTCTGAGATATGATCAATTTACAAGCCTCCTTTTAATATCCGACCTACCGTTTTACCTGCATTACTACTTGAAGCCATTAAAAATTATGCACGGGTGTGTCAAGCACAAATATTTTAAAGTAGCAGTTCTCAAAGTGTGGTCTGAGGACCTCCTGGGTTCTAGGACCCTCTTTCAGGGTATCCAAGAAGTCAAAATTATTTAAAAAATAATACTAAGGTTTCATCTGACTCCTCCACAATCATTCTCTCATAAGTGTTCAGTGGAGTTTTCCAGAAGCTGTACAGGTTATGTGACTGCATCCCATGAATACAGAAGCAGATATGAGAATTCAGCGACCATCTCTTAACCCAGGCATTGAAAAGATTTACAAAAATGTAAAACAATGATCTATTCTCATTAAAGTTTTTGTTTTTGTTCTGAAAAATACAGTTAATTTTTCATTAAAATGTAATTTGTATTAACACCAAATTGGTTAATATAAACCAAAGCATTGGTTTATCACCATTTTAAATGAATTAGCATAAATTTCTCCTTTAAAATTTCTACTATTAAAATATAGAAATATATAAATTTAAATGAATGCCCATAATGTAACGGTCTTTGAGGTCCCAGTTATTTCTAAGACTATCAGAAGTCCCACGGGCTTCCATGTTGGGGCCCCAGAAACAATGAAAAGACTGAGAATGTGTGCCTGTGGCAGACAGGGAATAGCTGCCACCCCCGCAAAAAACTTGAGAATTCTTCTTTAAGTTAATCACATCATTGGTCTGTATTTGATTTCCAAAGTCTATTCCTGAAAAATCAGAGTAGGTGAGGAGCAAACATTCATAAAATCTTTCTGTAGACCCGTAGTGACATATATCTCCAACAGCAAAATAAAGAAGGGTCACTTTCTGGATGTACTCTATCAATTTGATCAACCATTTTCTCAAATGTTGCTAAAAGAAAGAAAGCCATGAAAGCCCAAACAGAATTATCCAACTTTTCAGGTTAGGCTCCAAAAATGGAGTGTCTGTGCTTGGATCCTTCCACACCTGCTGACAGTTGGGGTGGAACCTGAATAGGGGCAGCCCATGCAACACTCACTCCTTTTACTTGCTGGGGGAGACCCAGATTTCTCTCCCACAGAATTCAGGGCAGGGTGATCGTATTCCCAATGCCTAACAGTCTGGTCCCGGCCCATCATAGTGATCCTAATCTTCTGGGCAGATGGTTAAGGGGTGGTGTGGAACTTGGTTCTGGTGAGTGAGACATCAGGGAAGATCTGTAGGGGGCTTGTGGGAAAACTTGCACACTCCTACACAGGGGCACTGCGGGAGGGGTTTCCTCTGGGACTCTGGGCATTGCCATGTATGGAAGTGACAAACTGATGACCCAAGAGGGGCCAGCCAGAGGGCAAAGCCAGTACACAGATAATGAGCTCTTAGGAAGATGGAAATAATTCTGACTGATGACTTTCCTTAGCCACTGACTTCAAGGTCTGAAACCTGTCATACCTCTCTGGCCTTCCTGCAATGTCATATAATAAAAGTACCAGTGGGTGAGAGCCTACTGTAGCTAAAGCATCCTAACTGCTATTTTAGTTGTATGATGTTACGTAAAATATGTAATCTTTCTGTGCCTTAGTTTCCTTTTATTGAAAAAGCAATGCGTATTTCAGAGTTATTGTCAGGACTAGTGTGTTAATACTCAGAAGTACTCTGAATGATGTATGTCACACATAAGCCCTCAAAACCTGCTATGGTGTTGGTTGTGGTTGTTACCACTTTCACTGCTATGTTTTGAAGAATCATAATTTTTTCACCATATTTGGAGACAAACACAGAAACAAGGGGACATAGGAATTTTAACAAACAGACTTTGCTGAATTCCTCTCTGTCTACCACCTCTGTTCATATTATAATGCTAGCCCTCTTCCTGGAGCAGTTCCTCCACCTAAATTATTTTTATGCCTTTAGGTGGGGAGGTCAAGGTTTCTTTCTGAGTCTTTTGGGTCTTGATTGTCTTTAGCTCTGACGTAATATGCATGCCAAAGTAGCACATCTTTGGGTGTCCTACACTCGGCCCCTATGCTTCTACACCTAAGAACCCCCTCTTGAGATTACTGCTCCCTGTTGCAGTCCCTTTTCCTGCTGGGTTGGAGGTCTTAGTTCCCAAGGGGAGGATGTTTCCACCCAGAAATATGACAATGGTTTCATTGGATTACCTGGAATTTAATTGAGCTGATACCTGGCCACTGTGGTCTTACGCCACTGAACCAAAAGCAGAGCAAGGGGTCATTCTACTGGCTGAAGTGAGAGATTCTGATTACCAATGGCAAGAGGGCTGTTGGGAGTCAGAGGAGACTATGCCTGGCACCCAGAGGATTCTATGGGGTTCCTCTTAGCATTCTATGATGAAGGGGGGCAGAATTTGTGACCCCAAAACATGCCTATTTAGTATAAGAATTACCTTAAACCCATTATTTTTAAGAAATAGCAGACACAGATGAAGCTCTGCAAACTGAGTCTAAGTTGCTCTTTTGTTAAGGGACCTTTCAAATTATTCATTTGTAAGGGTGTCTCCCTCTCTATACCAGGAAGAAGAGGATACCTAAATCTCTAGAAACTCTTCTTAACAGAGCAGGCCTGGATTTAAAGCTGCCTGACAACCCCATGAACCTTTACTGTGCTTTGACTGAAAACTTCTGGTAACTGGCCTCCCCCAGCCCCAACATCTTTTATCTCTAGCTGGAGATGGTATTTAAGCTGTTGGCTGGGGCCATTTTGGGGAGTTACTCAGTTTTCCTGGGTCTCCCATGTACACAGGAGGTATACACGCTATTAAACTGTTTGCTTTTCTTCTGTAATCTGTCTTTTATTACAGGGGTGGTCTCAGCCAAGAATCTAGAGGGAAAATTACTTCCCCCCACTACAGTGCCCAAAAGTAACGATTAATGAAAAAATTACAGCGACCAAACAAGGGAGGACTGTTGAGAACTGGGAACCTTTGGGAATGAAGATTTGCATCTCCCAGCTAGGTAGAGAACTCAGCGCAGCCTGCCTGCATCTTTCAGCAAGTTTCTTGGCCACTGGACCGGCCATTCTCAGGGACCATCTGCATCGGAAAGTTTCTCTGCTACCAGCTGCATCTGCTCACAAGGGGTCTGAATCTCAACCTTGGGTGGGGGTGGAGGAGCAGGTCTTCTAAACACTTAGTTCCTTTCTTGTTTACTCTCCTTCTGCCCTTGGGGTCACAGCTACATTCTGTGTTGGCTTTACAATACTGCTTAGAGTCCTCTTTTACCACCTTCGCCATTTTCTACAAGTTAAAAATCCTTGTTAATATTTAATAAGGAACAAAGAATATTCCCTGTTCAAATACTGGTGAGGTTTCTGCCTCCTCTTTGGACCCTGAGTGCTACATCAATATAGCTGCCTAAACTTAACCTATTTCTTTATATTCTGGAATGCTGCACATTTAACATCACTCAGAGATTCATCCTTCCCTCTCCCCATTGCCAAGTGGTTCCTTTTTACTGTATAATTTCATTTTTCATTAAGCTTGAACATGTATGTTTTTCCTTTCCTATTTTAAGCAAAAAACCTATTGCAGGTGGTAGGTTTATGGAATGTGGGTAATTAATATTACAAATATATAATGTTATGTGTCAACTATGTCTCGATAAAGTTTGAAAAAATAAAACTGCAAAAAAGATCCCCAATGTACATATTTTCAGGATATGATTTAAAAACTTAGAATAATATTTTCAGTTATTCCTTCGAGTGACATAATATTATAATACATACAATATTTTTAAATCAAGTTCAAAAATTTTATAGCTACCTCCTCCGGAGTGTCTAAAATAATATTAGTGCCTCATTATTGAGTGCTTAGCTTTCTGTGATTTGTTAAAATATATGCAATAACACACACATCTTCCCCTCAGGTTTTCCTCCCAATAATCTCCTATAGAGAGAGATTAATATTCTTGCATTGAAGATGTGGAAACTGAGGTTCAAAGAGTAAATAACTCATCTGAAATCATAAGACTGGAGTGAATTCCTATTCTCCATTCCTAGTGAGAACAGGCCTATGGCTCTAAGGTCCCTTGAGTCCTAACTTCTTGTATGGCTGATTCAGAAAGATCTGGCTCATTCAGAATCTAAACGAAATGTGAAAGTCCATTCTTAGGTTTCCCGTCAAACTCCAAATGTCTAATTTTAGATGACAACCCCGCTGCCTAGAATGGAAACCTACATCACAACAAATCAGCTAAATGGCTCCTACACAGTCCTTATTTACAGTCTCAGCAATCTGGCTTTGAATAGCTTGGTTGTTATGCCTAAAATACTGCCTTGGAAAGATAACAATTATGGTTTTTTAATAAACGAGATACAAAATTAACATGTTAATTTATTATAGAAAACAGACTGATGAGTATTTATTAATAGACAGCAATGTCACTTCTCACTGAATCCTAAAATAGGCCATCCTAACAAATGCTCATTAATGAATTAGTCAAAGAAAATGGCATTAGTTATATGGAATTTTATCCATGGTATATTGCTCCATTTTAAGTAAGCAAAACTTTGCTTCCCTCTTTTCCTCTGCAAAGAACACACAAGTTTCATGTGCCCCCCCCTCCCCCCCAGTGTACTTTGTGCAGTCACTTCCTAGGGGATCTGACCAGGATTCTAATCTTTGTGCCTGTTCCGCCCAAGTTTATACAGCCAGCCTGGACCTCTCTTCTGAACTTCAGACTTGAAGGGTAGCACAATGTGCACCCTAAGATGTGTCTCTTTGGCATAAGGATTATTTTGAGAACTGCAAACACAGGAGAAGCTCTGAAAACAGACTAGACAGTTACCCTATTCTAAGAGAAATTACATTTATAAAGGAAATCTCCATTTGCATCTCCATCTCTGTACCAGGACTAGAAGGATTACCATGAATCACAGGAGTATCTTATCCGTGGAGAAAACACCTCAGGGAGGTTGAACCAATCACCAAAAGCCAATGACTTAATCAATCTTGCCTACATGAAGAAGCCTCATTGAAAACCCCTGACTTATGCGGTTC